GTAAGGTCATTAAAAAAAAAAAAAAATGATATTAACCCATATGGTACATTATAATACTACTCATACAAGTAACAGTTATACCCAATTGTATGCACGTTATAGCTCAACAAACGCGTACCGTGTAAACGAAAGGGATTGCACACAAAAGCTATTAAAGTAATAATATTATTATCCTTCAGAGAAAATGATATAGTTTGTAATGATATTATTGTATACAAAGACAGATGTTTCCTTTGATTACATCTCTTTTGAGCGGTAAGCACACTTTAATTATTTTACGCTCGTTTCGTTCATCATAATAATTATTAGTAACAATACAAACACTACAAACTTTTCAAGTAGTTTTTATGTTACAATTTTCAATAAAATACACATTTATAAATTTCACCTGTACAACAATGTACTTTTTAGTAAACAATTAAATTAAATTTCGAACATTTCTCGACTTCTATAACCGGGCGGCCAAGATGTCGTCACCATTCAGATGCTAATATCCGAAAAATAAGTAAGTCAGTAATTATTGTAATAACCGACATCGAGTAATGTTTAACTTCTTTTTTTTTTTTGTAAAAACTTTTCTCTAATTATCGTCGGATTTTACGCGAACCGCCAACTTAGTTGTTACCAACTCAAGACTATTAATACTGCCATTTCCATAGTTGACAATGTAAGATTTCAGTTTAGTTATTTGAAATTTTCCTTAGGAAATACAGTAATATATATTTAAATAATTTCTCCAATTATAATAAATTCAAATTGTTCTTAACTCAACATAAACTTTCCTGAACTGTTTTAAATTCGCTCTTGAACGCTTCGAATTAGTCATTGCCCTGAAAATTAGAATCAGGATTCTTATGTTGAAACTATATACAATGTGGTGTTCAAAAATGTAAATTACTTATATGACGTTTTATGATGGGTTTTAAATTATTTTTTCCAGGTTGCTTTTGGAAAGTGACATACATTTTGAACACTTTCAAAATGTTTATAATTAATAATCATGTTATACTCGTCCATTTAAGTAATTCCTGTGACTAATGTGGAAAACCTATAAGACCGTATTGGCGATTTGTATTGTCCATTTTATTGTCCTTTGCTGTCAAGAGATTACAAAAAAATATAGTTATGATTAATATAACACTTTTAATTACAAATATTGTTTCATGAGAAAATAATATAAATTACTAGCAAATTTTATTAACTACTATATTTTAGGTTATGCCAAGGCTACCAGTCCTAGTTTGTTTTAATTATATAAATTCAAGCTCAGACTTTTGGCGACAAACTTTTTCTTTTATTTATTATATATTGTAAATTATGAATATTTCTGTTTGAAATAATAATAATAAATCCTCAAATCAAATAAAAATTGCATATTTAATCAAAAGTCCTCATTTCATTTGTCGCCTTTTAGCTGTACACGTTTTAACATTTTTAAGCACTGTTTTATTTGACAGTGTTCATCAGCTTTATTAAAAAAAGACTATTATTTTACGAAATTGAAATTGAAAAAAAAGTATTTTTTTATATTTATCTAGTGAAAACAATATAATAATAAAGATGTTTGCAATTACTTTTTATCGCACAGGGTATTTCAAAACATTTTTTTATCCGCAACAAATCTTTTAGACAAAAGTTCTACTGTCGATTTGTATTATTAAAAAAAAAAAAAAAAAAAACATAATTAAACATAAGTTATTATTTGTGTCATTTGCAAATAGTTTTTCTCCGTGCAATTTGAAATACTTTTGAAAGTGCTCGCTCATGTTTTATTCATTTATAAATTAAAAACAACTCGCAGCTTTTATATATTTATAGCGACTTAAATTTATATTATTCTCTCGAATTTTATATTATTCTATTTGTATAAATATTTTTATGCGGCACAGCTGTATTTTTTCCTCTGTCGTTTTAGCTCCCTTCGCGCAGTGGTTCTTTTAACTTTAAGTACAGACAATAGCTGTTGACACGGTTTAAAGCTTGTCTGGCGAAAAACCCGAAACTCGTGTTGTTTATATTGTATTTAACTGTGTATGTGTGTATATTATAATATACACACACACAGTTAAATAATAATCATGTGTACTATTCCACTCAAAATCGTTCAGCGCTAATGAAAAGATAGCATACAATGTATTACCTATTTTGCCTTTCTACAGCAAACAAACACAAACATCACAGAGTCCATGCGCATTAATTAATTAAATATTTGCCCAAATTATTTTGCAGTGCACTTTTTGCACTTTCCCGTTGATCTCATATCAAAAAATGCAGAGTGTAATAATAATATCTAGTATTAATATTTATAGTAATGCTCAGGAACGTCAATTATGTATATCCAAGCAGCTTGAATATGTATATATATATATATATATATATATATATAAATAACGAAACCCGGGGCTTTAAGAATTAACTGTGCACTTAGCTCTCATTTGAAGCCTTTTGAAGATATTTTTGTATGTGCGTTAATGTGTATGTAAATTCCAGGGTAACGATTCAATATATTATGAACTTAGTTGGAAGCATGTTTTAGCGCTAACCTACCAATTATTCGTTAATTAGCATATTATTATAGCTTAGGTAAGAACTTACAAGATTCAATTAACAAACTTATTCGATCGAAACAGACAATTACTAATTCGGTGTGTCCGGACGGATATTACGGATAAGAATATTGTCGATTGACCTAATATCATTATTACAATACAAATCAACCCAGAGTTTATTAATGACAATGTTAGAAATTAAAATCATACTGTCCCTAATAAGTTTAATAGCTTCTTGACCGATAGCATTACAATTTATACAATTTATACTCAATGCTAATACCCATTAAACGCGTTGTTTATCGCTAAATGATAACGATTATATCTACTAAACTACATAAAAATATGTTAATAATATCTTTTTAATTTCAAATATAAGCAATCAATGTTATTAGATATGAATGATAATAAAAATAATTGCTTAACATCTTTTAATTACATATTTACAATAATAATTGTATTTTTATGTATATTTATAGTGCTTTTTAATTTTATCTCAAACTCTAATAGTTTCAAAAATAATTTAATTCGCAAACTGTTAAAACATAGAATACATGAATATAATATTACTACTATAATAATTATGAGCATATACTTATTCATAAAACATATTTTGTTTTATTATGCAAACAAATACAAATTAACATAATTTTCCACGTAAACAAAATTTAAATACTCAAAACCTACATTAAACATACATAAATTTCCCTTTTAGCTGTATTTGATGCGTGTTACTTTATAATGCAAGAGGTTCATGTTATACATACAGCACTAAAAATGTAGTTTAAAAGAAAAAAAAAAATTAAACAAGCTTTAACGTCGGCATCGTAACGTTATTGACAGACAATAGGATGGTAATAATAATAGTTTTCTTTAATATTATATCCTAAAGACGGTTCAATGTACTCAAGTAAACAGAGTGTATTATTCCTGACAATTCAAAAATCAAATTACCTTGATACCCTTTTAAAGTAAGCAAAGTGTCAGCTGCCAACTAAGTATGCCCATAGCGTAGTCTTTTACTTAAAAACTTTCAAACTGGAAAAATAGTCGGAACTTATTTTTTGATACCCTCTGTAAACAGTATCGACAACGTTCTAATTAATTAACTCGGTCGTTCGGCAAAGCTTTGAAAATTTGAACAGAAAGGATCTGATAGCATCGAAAGTATTGATTATAACATTGATGTATAAATATATATATATATATGTTTGGTTTTGAAAAACAAACTTGGAAAACAAAATTTATGTCACGGAAACAAACATAAACCGTAAAATATCATTTTAGTTATATTGTAGTTTACAAAATCTAACTAAACAATAATACTCTGGTCCTATGTACTATATTTCATATCGAATGAGTCAATTAAATCAAATCCTGCTTTGTCCAAGCTCTCGCCGTAGCCGGTTCGAGACTAGATAGGCGCAAGCCATAGGAAAAAAATATGGTAGGTATAAAATTATTGTTTGTATGTAATACGGGCATAAAGAAACGCCGTTTGTTTGAAAGTAAAAGGAAAACCGTCGACCAAGTTCTGGGTAGGTATTTATAAAACGTTAACAGCGCTTTCCTTGCGGCGGTAACGAGGGCATTGTCCGAACCGCCTGGACTTCAAAGACCCGTCACGAGTTATAGGTACCCGTGAAAAAAAAAATACTCCTGTGACCTGTGATACTTTTGACCTCAGCGGGGGTTAAACTCCGACCGGTCTAGTAGACATTATGGAAACGTTTACCGGGAAAGCGCTCTTAGTTTGCGCGCGAAAGTACAAAAGAAGAAAATATAATCTGGAATCTTTCCAGAGGGCATTCTCGGCCTTCGTTCGCAGCGAGCAAGAAAAGTTTCACCCACGTCCGGTCCAGTGCTTGGAACACGTGGAGGTAATAAATTGCCCCTGCTTCCACCAGGGATCATGTATTTTTTAGTTCCACTCTCTCTCTCTTTCTAGCTTTTTTTTTTCTCTTTATGTATAAATAATGCATGTGTACCTCCTATACATTTTACTCGGCCGCCCACACCTTCATATTCAAAGTGAAAACCGGCGTTAACCCGCCTGTTTTCAATTAGGTATTATGATATTATGCAAGTAGGCGATGGCGATCGGTGGCGTTCGAACGACGAAAACCCAGCGCTGTGCATTATTTCTATTATGATAAGACAAGGTACAAACAGTGAACAGCACTACAGCTGCAGTTCATAGGGTACTACACATTATAACCTACATAGAACTTGTGTGATATATGTTTGGAGGTTCCGCAGTGCAGTGAACGCTAAATAGTTAATATAAAGAACTAAAAATTGAAAAAAATCATCTCAATTGTTTTCATTTGTTGTAGAAAGACGTTTAATTCATTTTTATACACCTAATCGCGAGGTATATTCAAACGCGACAGACATAGGTACACTATTGGTTCATAGTTACTATAATATGTATTAGGTAAATGTACTTACAGTTCGACGAGGCACCTGCCGTACGAATGGAATTTTCGCAACTCCCTTTTCAATTGTCCATCTGCAACACATTATAACAAACACGGGGATTAGTTTTAGCAGTCTTGAGACCGTGGACATGTTCAGGTCACAATTATTTATTTGCGAGATCATTAAACGAACGGTGGAAAAAAAAAGCATGTTCCATGCTGTGTCTTTGGGGTAGCACATTCTCATTCGTCAGTGCGACAATCGTTATGGTATTATATTGTATTATACGATGTTATTATACTTGTTATTGCAGCACACACGATTACCGCGAGCGAGACTGTCGGTTAGGGAGAGAATAATTTATGTGCGGATTAAAGATTCAAGAGTAATAACGAACTTACAGGTAGAGCGTTTATTCCGAGAAAATCCACTCTACACGGAGACGGACGATATACACATCGGATAAAATATAATACAATATGGATACATGTATTATAGCTGTGCACGTGTATATCATAGTAATTGATGTGTAATACGTTTAGGTAGGCTCATTCGGTGGCTTTTGTTCAGGCGCAGTTGGCTATAACAAAGCGCCATATAACAAGTCGTATGATACCTATGTACTTGTGTAAACGACATATTCGGGTTTTGGTTAAACTCCATCGCGGGAGAAGTATAGTACATATTTTGGCGTGTGACTAATTTGAAAGGCTAAACAAAATATGAACGTCTACAAGCACTTCGCCCTACTCACCCTACTTAACCTGCAAATAAGAACCGACTATCGTGGTTTTTTGGGCAGTAAGCTATAAATTAAAAATTCATATTCTTTTTGCTGGGCTCACCTAGTGTCTAATCATTGTTAATCAAATACTTTCGATCTCTCCATCGCGCATCGCTCGGAACTCCTAACGCTGTTTCTGATTCCGGGCGAATACTTGACTAAACTACTTTATTATATTTTCAAACAAGTGTGTTTTTGTCGCTGTACAACGTGAATACTGTCCCGATGGTAAAATATTTAAATATTCTAACCCGGGACAACGTCTGGCCGCGATAAAGCGACCGGTATTGGTTGGATATGCGCGCGTTGGATGAGAAGCTGTTTTTTCGTAGCCCACACACACCGAAAATGTACTAGAGAACAAATTGTATTTTTTTATTCGGCGATGGCTTTTATGAAGCGCCCACGAGTGACCGAAGACCCGAAACTGTTGTTTTTGTACCTTCTGGTTAATAACTTATCGTTGCGTTCCTTTTTTTCCCCCGTGTTTTTTTTTTTTTTTTAATCTCATAAGCAATTACAAGGGTTTAATCGTAGAGTATCAGAGATTTGTATCTCCAAACGAGGTGGTACGGTGTTATTTTGTTTGCGACCACGTGCCGCACATATAGTTAGAGATTTCATAATAGAAACACTTACCGTGACTGCGGTGTGTATATGATTAGGTACGGTTTTATTGCCATGGAAAATGCATCCAGCACACAATTTAAATGTACGACGCGCGCAGTGTTATGTGAGTTATATACGTCGATTTAATATTATGGACTTTGCATACAAAACGGCGCATTTTCCCGGAAACACTTATCAAAAAACAATCCTTTCGAACCCAGTTTTTCCAGGACCACGAGTTATGTTTTCCCATTACAATAAAAATAACACACACACACAAATTCGTCTACTACCGTTTTATTGTTTTACGGTCGAGCTTTCCGAATTCATGTTTATTTAAAGCTATGTGTGTCAAAATAACGCTGCGAATCTATGACTATTGATATGATCTTAAATATTAAATGATGGAAATAATATAATAAGCAACGGTTTGCTATTGATTGTGTAGTTTTTTACCAAATAAAACCGACCGTTTGTTAAACTAAAGCAGTATCTGGTGCCACCGGATACGGTTGGATGATGTTCATTGGGCTATTGGCGTTTCTGTATGGTTTTAGATATCATGTGTATCAACAGTTTCGGATTTGTAGCCCGGCATGTCTCACGTGCTGTTCGGTGACCGCGAGAGTGAACGATAACGTGTGCATGTGACAACCATCTCTACGTTTGTGGCTTCGTTCGGCTACCAGACCACATGAAGAGCACCCGCAAACATATTTGTTCGGGTCGGAATACCGGCAAACGAATGCAATTACTTTCAGAATAGAGCCCAGAAGGGCAAAATGATCATGATTAAAACCAGAGCTCCTTAGAGATTTAACAGACTACTGGAGCTACTTTAACGAGGTCAAAATCAATTGTGTATCGTACAACGCTTACTCGAAAATATAAATTTTTCTTATCTATATCCGGGTAGTGATTACCGAAGACGGAGGTTTGGTTACTATTGTGTAGACCGAATCATAAATTTGAGTTGAACACAACTTGTTCAAAAAGTGCAGAGGTTAATATTGTTCAGATTGTTCTGCTACCTTAAAATTTAAAATCCACCCACGATTAAGTTCGATAAAATACATTGTTAAGGCATTTTCATCGAAAGTATATTATTACATGATTACACAATGTGTCCATTTTCACAACAAGTGCTACAGTACAAATTAAATCAAAACACTATTACATAGTTAGACTAAACGAATATTAGATCTAAAATCGCATTCCGAGATAGTTTTTCACCTAAATCCGTCGAATTTGATTTATGCAGAACAAACAAATTTATTATTAGATTTAATTTAAACGTGCATTATTGGCAAACGTTTTTAGGCGATTTTGCTATTCTTGGCGATGCGCGACGAACATAAAAGGTTATAATAGAGTAGTTACAATGTGTACTCGTTAAGTGAAATAAAAATAATCATTAACGATTAAATCGGAATAAGCGAATGTATTCAACGGTACAACAAAAATACTTATTAACGAGCGAGTACCGGAAGCACTATACAAATTCTGTCGTTGTTAAAACGCTATTGTTACCGAACAGAGGGCTTAGCGAAATCGTTTATTATTTTATTTTACTTCTTAACACAAAAGGATTAAAAAAAAATCTAACTTTTAAAATGTTTTTTTTTTTTTTAATCAATTTGTGTTTTTAAAACGAGGATAAAGCTTGATTTGTTTACATTGTCGAACAATCGAAGATCATTTTTTGTTAATTGTATTATTACTAAGTATTCAAACGTTAGAGGATTACTATGTTCAATCGTTGACGTTTACACCAGTCGTTGTAAACAATTAAAAACCATTTAGAATGCAATATAAATTAAGTCGATTTTAATTTCAGCCATGTTGTTACACACATTATAATGAGAATCTTTATTCATTGTGTACATTACGGAAGTGCTGACAAACCGAACTTGTCGTTGCCCTTGTAAACGTATGGCAAAAACACTGTGGGTAGGGTGAGTTCATAAGCCACGTTGCAAACCATGAGTGGAATTCAAATGGGTAAGAGTTTTTAGTTAAATACGTTTAACGAACTAAACGTTGTCGCGCCGTGGAGCGTTCGCCACACGATTGCACACACAATCAGAACTTAAAGAGTTCGGACCGATTCTCGTTTCTCAAGTTTCCATATATTATTACGGGTAATCCTCCCCGGGGAACCGGGAGGGGGGGAACGGATGAGCTATTTGCGCTTGCCAAACAACAAACGCTGTCCAACGTCAAATTGTCATCTTTGATTGCGGTGCCGAATTTCGTCTCGGGACACTTTGGCAATCTATTTATGGGCTATCCCACACGGCCGTGACCAAATAGCGTGTGTGATTTACGCGTTCTACGGTACCGTCTCGCGGTGTGTTTGTCTTGGTCCCACGAGGCTCTTGAGTTCCAGCTGTTTTCATCGTTCCACCAACGGCCGGCCGATGCGACGGTATTGTCCTCGTACCCAGACCGAGTCACTTTCGTTGAAAATGTAATAATATGTTGTTTCAAATGCCCGTTGTTTTGTTTTTTTGTAAAAATATATAGAAAAATAAAACGCCGTTCCCACTACCTAAGAACATAAATAAATATTAGTCGTGAGCTGATGAAAGAAAAAAAACAAAGCTCCGACCAACACCGTCATCAAATAAGTCATCAATAATAGTGTCCGTGCGGCATTATATATTGCGGAAAACGCCATTAGGACGTCGGTTAAGCTGGATATGTGTCTGTATATTTTATTTAGTCAGTTAACCAAGAAGACAGCCCGAACCATTGCACGCGAACGGCTGCGATCGAAACCCACGTCTGAAATGGACTAGATTTGTTGTCGGAAAGGTATTTTTAAATCGTATTAAACCGGCGAGTATGTCTTGCGTGCGAGTGAAAACTAAATTATGGTTATCCAAAGATTTACCGCGGTCTCGAACAAAAGCGCAAGTACCCGTGGGACTTTTGGAGAGAGAAAAAAAATAATAAGACACGGATAGCACTGTCAAGCGGTTTTTGTAAATAGCATTAGTCCGGCGCACGTAATTCGACGGTTAATCGATTTTCGAATTTCTTAATCATATTTACTTTGGTCACACGCTAAACCAGCCAAAACCAATTTGGGCCGAACAATCGCACAATCACGAAGCTCGTGCGTTTCACTCGGCCGAGAGAACGTCAGACGCATTGAGCACCTCTATTCATTTAGCTCGACGTGAAATAATAATTAAACGAACGTCTTGGCGTATTTGCATGTCTCCCGGTACAAGTCAACACCAATTATTATTATTATTATAATTATATTAGATGGCACTTTTCGCAACGTGACTCCGTTTGTGTGTCGCTCCCAAAAGAACGCCATCTCACCTCGAAGACACAACGACCGCCGCCGCCGCCGCCGACCTTATTAGCATTTTCTCGGTTTTGACCACCGTTTTCCACAGCACGTGACTTCTGTTCGTTAATATATAATACGGTCCGTGTGATACAATTATTACTATTTTTTTTTTTTTTACTATCATTATCGTTATAAATCCTAACGTGACCTCTCCGAACTAGTGTCGTGGGTCGCTGCCGAGTAAGGTCTCGCACCTGCAAAACCCATTAAACGCGTTTCGCGGTACACGTACACGCAGTCGTTGTTAATTGTATTATGGTAGCTAATTCCCGCCGTGTTATATGTGTTAAGCTTGTATCTACATAGTATAAATAGGGCGAACGTGGTAAAA